ATGATTATTATTTATTTTATTGGCATATATAACAGTTATCTGTATAAATTATAAAACACTATGACAAAGTAATGTTTAATTTATTATTTTATATATATTTAGTTATTACATTTTATATTATAATCTCACACATGGATCAGAATTTTCTATAATGTCTAAATTCTAAATCAAAATACATACCTGATATGACTTAATATATAATTAGCATCAAAGATCAAACAATATAATTCATATTCTCAAGGATTAAAGATTAAACGGGAAAAAATACATATGATTGCACAACCATCAATTAGGTGGCGATATGCACTAAGCATGTAAACGACCATTGTACAAAAGAAGAAGAAAGAAACAGCATGGCACGCATTTTCTTAGCGTCCGTTTCCATAGTGACTTGTCGATTCGTCACTTTGTTGAGAATGTCTTGAGTCTTAACCAGGAACATACTCTGAGTTGAATGAACTTACTCCCGGACGCGTTTTTGGAACCACATACCTTGAGTAAGCAAGGTCTGGGGTTAATCAAACGAAAGTTCAGGGTTTAGCTGACGGTAAGTTAACCGTGCTTTCAGGAATACACCCCTGTTTGTTGTTTACAGCTTGGCAGTAACGAAGGGGAAGCAAGCCTTCCGGAGAAGGGCGCTACGGAGACCACATCCTGCCCGTAGGGAGGTATCATGTGGAGACACTGATATGGACTGACCCAGGCCCGGGGCAGTACTACATATGGAATGGGTCTCTGAGGCAGGTCCTACCTAGGAGTAGGGAGGAACGGCTGCCAGCAGAGACTGACAGAGTGGTCTGTCAAAGGAAAGACACGGGTTCACTGAGAGGGAAACCTTACTGTGGAAGAATACACATATGGGATCGCCCACAGGGAATCAAGTCATATGGACACCTAGCCCATTAAAGAGGCTGACTGGAAACCCGGGCAAGCTAACACCGATACTGGGCCTGGCGTCAGACTGCTCCGCCCAGTCTGACTGCCGGGGGTGTTGGAGGATACTCAACCAGGGTTCGCCGACTGGGGAACTTACTGGAGGAGGAAAAGGCGCTCGCATGCCCGGGTGAGGGGGAATGGCGCAGCAAGCATGACCCCGGCCGGCTCTTCCCGCCACTTACCTGTTACCCAAGACATGGGTAAAAACTGGCTGAACGCGGAGGAAATCTCACAAAGGTGTTCGGTGTCGCCCAGCCCACAGCTCTACAGATGTCTGCTAGAGAGCATAGCGCATAGGAAGAGGCAACTCTCCATGTGGAGTGAGCCCTCACTCCCAGGGGGCACGGCTCAACTTGGGAATGGTAAGCCAAGGCGATCCACTATCCAGAAGGCCAACCTCTGCTTGGAGACAGCCTTCTCTTTCTGCTGACCTCCGTAGCAGACAAAGAGCCGCTCCGAGCTTCTGAAGCTCCGGGTGCGTTCCACGTATATGCGCAACGCTCTTACGGGACACAGCAACACCAAAGCTGGATCTGCCTCCTCCGAGGGCAGTGCTTGCAGGTTCACCACCTGATCGCGAAAGGGCGTGGTGGGAACCTTGGGCACGTATCCAGGCCGGAGTCTCAGGACAACGTGAGAGTAGGCCGGCCCGAACACAAGGCACTCTTCGTTCACCGAAAATGCTTGGAGGTCCCCGACCCTCTTCATGGAAGTGAGCGCGGTCAGGAGTGCTGTCTTAGCAGACAGGAACTTAAGCTCAGCTGAGTCCAGCTGCTCAAAGGGATCCCTCTGAAGGCCAGCCAGGACAGTAGATAGATCCCAGGAGGGCACCAGGGGTGGCCTAGGAGGGTTCAACCTTCTGGCACCCCTCAGGACCTGACGATGAAATCATGCTTTCCCAGGCACCGGCCATCTACTGCATCGTGATGTGCTGTGATATCAGCCACATAGACTTAAGGTGGAGGGTGACAACCTTTCTTGCAGGAAAGAAAGCACTACTCCAATCGTGCATCTTCGGGGGTCTTCTCGGTGAGAAGAACACCAGTTCACGAGCAGACCGAGGCTGCCTGCCTGTTGCATGTAGCACCCCAACCCGTACTGGAGGCATCCGTCGACAACGACATGCCGGGACACTTGTTCTAACAGCACCCCGGCCCGTAGAAAGGCAAGGTCTGTCCAGGGACTGAACAGGTGGTGACACTCCGGTGTGATGGTCACACGAAGTGTACCGTGACGCCATGCCCATCTCGGGATATGCCCCAGGAGCCTCTGAAAGTGTTTTAGAGATACCACGTTCCTGCCTCTGAAGGAACTCAGGCAGTTCAGCACTGACTGCTGGGCATGCACGTTGGTGAGACGCACTGTCATACTCACCGAGTCTAACTCCATACTAAGAAAGGAGATCTTCTGCACGGGGAAGAGTTTGCTCTTTTTCCAATTGACCCAATGCCCCAACTGGCTGAGGTGCCGGAGCACCAGGTCCCTGTGATTGCACAACTGCTCTCATGACCGGCCCATGATGAGCCAGTCGTCGAGGTAGTTGAGGATCCTGATGCCCACTTCCCATAACGGGGCAAGGGCGCCCTCCGCGACCTTCGTAAAGACACGGGGGGACAGGGACAGCCCAAAGGGGGGGACCCTGTACTGCCATGCCCGACCCTCGAACGCATACCGTAGGAACGGCCTGTGTCGAGGAAGAATCGAGACATGAAAATAAGCATCCTTCTTGTCGACCGCTGCAAACCAATCCTGGGGCTGGATGCATCTAATGATGCACTTCTGCATCAACATCTTGAATGGGAACTTGTGAAGGGCCCAATTCAAGACACGCAGATCCAGGATTGGCCGAAGGCCACCGCCTTTCTTGGGCACGATGAAGTAAGGACTGTAAAACCCTGACTTCATCTCGGCTGGAGGGACAGGCTCGATTGCGTCCTTCGCCAGTAGGACAGCAATCTCGTCGCGCAGGACAGGCATCTCGAGCTGCCACGTAAGTCTCGAGAACGGCGCTGAACCTGGGGGGTTGCCTGGCAAACTGAATCGCGTAGCCGAGTCGAACTGTCCGAATGAGCCAGTGGGATGGGTTGGGCAGCGCGAGTCATGCTTCCAAGCTCCGTGTGAGTGGCACCAAAGGGACAATCAACGCACCTGCGGTGGTGCAGAGGTGGGAAGTCGTGCTGGACGGCACAGAAGGCATCGCGTCCTGGCTCATCACAGCAGGACTCCCCGTGTCCCCGGAGGGACTGGCCAGAGATGCATGGAGAGGCAGCGCGTCTCCGAGCTGCGATCTCTTGGCTGCTGGCAATAGGGGGCGTCGTGGGCGAGAGTGAGGAGGTAGCGCGTCGCTCACTGCCAACCCACGATCCTGATAACCTGGAGAAAAAGGAAACTGCTCTTTTTTCGAGAATGTGGGTATCGCTGGCCGTTGGACCAGCAGCGGAACAGAAACAAAATGGAACAAAGGATTCTCCCTGCCTGGCCCTCCTCCAGGGGAAGGAGTGGCACTGTTCTCTCCATCTTCTGAAAAAGAGCTGCTGCGATCGACATCCAATCCTCCGGCGGCTCACCGAATGAAATGCTGGGACCGTCACGAGCCGGGCCAGCGAAATCACTTGGGAGTCGCACGGGACATTCGCTGCGGGAGGAGTGAGAGGTCCACAGGGATGTACCCGGCGGAGAAGCTCTCACTTTGACCCTCAGATCTCCCAGAGCTCTAGCCGGCGGTCCCCTGCTCGTGGCAGGGAAACTGGGACGGGTAGAGACAGAGGGTGCCACTCCATTCCCCGTGAGGAGAGAGGCGAGAACGCAGCGAAGCCATGCTCATATGCTCGCAATGAACGCATGAGTCATCCACAAATGCAGCTTCAGCGTGTTGGATGGCCAGACACTGAAGGCAACGCTCGTGGCTGTCAACAGAGGACAGGTAACGACCGCAACCAAGAGAAAAAAGACACGAGCCGTGAGCCGTCCGTGATGAGAAACTGGTCTTTTAGTTGAAGCACCCCGGGGAATCGCTGAATCAACAGGGACACCGCTGTTTGTGCCGTCACGCCAACCAGGAACAGCGTCTTTATTCCAGTGAGATCAGAAAGGCTCTGTGGAGACGAAATCATTCACCCACTCGGTTTCGAAGTAAAAATCTGATGAGTGGAAGCACCTGTCGCATATTTATATCCGTATGCACGGGGAGTGGCTCAGGTATGCAAAATCCACTAGCCAAAATTAATTGCCTCGTATATGGCAATATGTTCCATCCCTCTAAGATCCCACAAGAAAGAAATACAGTGATATTATCATGGTATGATGAGGGTATCAGATGGTAAAACTGTGAAACTTTGATATATATATATATATACCATGGTACATCTCCAAAAACACATGATTTTACCATGTTCACAAAACTCTAATCCTTAAAGGTCCCATGACATGCTGGTTTTTAGATGCTTTTATATAGGTCTAAGTGGTCCCAAGTACTGTATCTGAAGTCTCTTTCCCGAAATTCAGCCTTGGTGCAGAATTTCAGCCACTACGAGCCAGTCCCACAATGAGCTTTCCTTAGGACGTGCCATTTCTGTGTCTGTAGCTTTAAATGCTAATGAGGAGGAGAGAGGCGGGGCAACTGCCATGCTTCGCTCGTTTGCAAGCCATGATGTCTCTCGAGGAAAAAAAATATTGCGCTCGCCTCGCACGGTAGTAGCTAATTTTCTCATGGGCGGGCCAAATTCTCTGGGCGGGCAAAGCAGAGAAAGGGGAGGTAACCTTTCCCCGTATGACGACATAAAGGGAAGATTCCAGATTGGGCCATCTGAGCTTTCATTTTCTCAAAGGCGAAGCAGGATACCCAGGGCTCGGTTTACACCTATCGCCATTTCTAGCCACTGGGGGACCATAGGCAGGCTAGGGGAACTCATATTAATGTTAAAAAACCTCATAAAGTGAAATTTTCATGCCATGGGACATTTAAGAGAATAATTGCATTGTTTTGCTCTAAACAATCTGGTAGAACGTGAGTGTGTCATTTCTGCAGCACCAGCGCCACCTAATGGAAATAATCAAACACTTTCTGGGGAATCAACCAACTGATCAAATACTTGAAATGAAAAGGAGCTGAAATACAATTTTGCAATTACAAATGGGAGCATTTCTGTGGCTCAGACAGTAAAGCATTGTGATTACAATAGATTCTCAGGAAGTGCATGAACTGATCAAATGTGAATCTCGAATGCAATGGATAAAAGCATCTGTCAAATGCATGAACGCAAACATAATAATATTTTTGGTGCATTTAATCTAGAGCGCTCAAAAATGATCTGGATCGTCAAGGTCATTGTAGGAAAAAAAATAAACGTTATCTGAATTTTTATATATATCAGATAGTTGTCAGTGCAACATTCTCATTTTCATTTAGCTTAACCTGATGTACTAATAAAACTAAAACAGAAATAAAAATTAATAAAAACTAGATGTATTTAAAAAAACTAATAAAAATGAGAAAGCACACAACAAAATAACTAAAAGATTTAACTAAAATTAAAATGGAAATAAAAATAATAACCCTAGAACACTTTTTTAAGCTTCGGATTGGAACGACTCTACAACACAGCTGTCATAATCGCTCACCCTTCAGAATGCCTTGTGCAGGTGTCGTTTTGAAGTGCACCGTATTAATATGATTTCAGAATCAGAATCACGAGGCGTCAGAGAGTGAAAGTGCTATGATCAGTGCACATATGTCCATCTGCACACGCTATGCACTCATTATGAGACGCAGAGAAAACAAGCTGCGAGTAAGAGAGTGTGTTTATGACTCACTGTCAACCGCAGGACACTCTCCTCACCCGCTACCCATGATTCTCAGCGGCTGAACACTGCAGTGAAGATGTTAAGATTCTCAGATGTTGGTTTCTTTTTTGGACTTTCAGGT